ACAACGTTATATCATGGTTTTCCATCTTAGAATGGCAGGAAAACTGAACGTGTCCATGTATTGACCGTTACCTCTTCCGCAAATACCCACCAACATGTATATGGGGTAAGCACACAGGTGAGAAGTGAGGCTCATGGGGAATATAAACCAATGGTAAGTATCTCGTGGCCTTCTTGACACCATTTCGTAAGTACTTACAGAGTTAAACGTAGTATGGACACAAAAATGTAAATCACGAACTTTGTGTACACCTCTGACAAGAGTAAATTGGCACACACCACTCCTCCGAAAACTATGAATACACAATATCACCTAAAATGATCATATGGGTCATATCTTATAATTGAGACGGTAAAGTATGTACAGTCGTAGTCCGTTTAGGATATGCATGTAAGATAAGATTGGCACAAGAGGTCATTCTTTCCTGTGATGGCATGGGCGGGTGGCATGACAATGTGTGTGTGTGTGTGTGTGTGTGTGTGTGTTCGGGGGGTTGGGGTGTTAATCAATTCAAGAGCGCACTCTTGAGAAACGTTGGGTGCACACTTCACTTTCACCCATTTTCAATGGTCATATAATAAGCTTTCAGGACAAGAGGGAGTGGGATCTCTGGGTCCGAAACCTATGAATACACAATGTCACCTAATATGATCATATGTGTCATATAATATAATTGAGCCATTCTCAGTAAAGTATGTACAGTCATATTTCGTTAAGGATATGCATATAAGATAAGATTGGCACAAGAGGTCATTCTTTTCAAGGATGGACTATTGTTGTCCATGATTTGTGCTGTCCCGCTATCTTTATGTCCTTTGATTGTCTTCTAGGAGTACATCCCCAAATACGAGTATAAAGTGACTCCAAAGGGTCGTGTCAGCTACAACGCCGGAGATCCCATCCTTGTCCGCACAACCTTCAAAGCAAAGGACAATGGCCATGGTACATTGCACGGCCTCAAAGCAGAGTTCACCAGTAGCAATGACTGCATAACTCCTCCAAGAGTCCAAACCAAAACAGCCGAATCGGACCCCGAATTCCTTGAAGTCACTACTCCAACATATGATGAGCTAGTTGCTATTAATCAACCAAGGTACAGTGTGCGGCGTGTGAACGTGAACTACAATTCATCCCGTGACCTTCCCCGAGGAATTCTGAAAATCACCAATGGCTTCAGTTTGACAAGGTCATGTGTACTGTTTGCGGGGGTCAAGGTCACGTACATGCTGTTCCTCCAACCACCACCTGTTTCCCATTTGTTTGCGGAAAGGTCAGTTGTTTTTGACAAGGTGGAGAGAAATTACTATGTTGAAAATGGCGGCGACATCGATGTTGAATTGAAGGCTTTTGGTGGCAGTGAGGTTAACACTGAAGATATATGGAGGGAATCATTGTATGAGTATCCAAATATCACGCTGATGAGAAGTAGGCAAAAGGTAGAACCTGTTGCTGATGTTAAACGCTACTTCGAAAGAGAGGTCCACTTCCGGTTCCGGTCAGTGACATCGGCCCAAGCTGGGTGGTACCTGGCAGTAGCCAAGATGAAGTCACGTAAAGGAACTGGCAGGTCAAGAGCAGATTTCAACATCAATGTCCTCAATGTAATTTAATTAAATATGAGCAAGGTAATAAATCAGAGCGAAGAAGCAGTTGCTTGAGCATGTTATCATTACATAGTGTGATATTTCGTACCTGTGGTGTACCGTGGGTACAGCTGTCAGTGAAGAGTGAGTGAGTATAGTTTTACGCCGCTATCATCAATATTCCAGCAATATCACGGCGGGGGACACCAGAATGGACTTCACACATTGTACCCATGTGGGGAATTGAACCCGGGTCTTCGGCGTGACGAGCGAACGATGCAACCACTTGGCTACCCCACCGTCCCCTCAGTGAAGAGATCAGTGCATCCTGTAATGTCAAGAGCTAGATCACAGCTATTTTGTTTTAGGTTTGCTGTCCCCAAAACAATCTCCATATGTCATAGTACCAGTTGGCACGCAACCAGCTCGTATCAGCCCGACCAACCCACCCGTGGAGTACTCTACACAAACGCTGAATGTAGGGTGCTTTACCCATGACACACCACCCCGTGTTGGGTGGAGCCCTAACCTGGACAAACAACTTAGCAACGAGGATATGAGCTGAGAGTGCACAAATATGGCAGTATTTCACAACAGTGAAACACCGTTGTGTCGATGACGAAAGAATGAATTACTCGTGACCAAGTTTCCTTCCACTTCGAGACAAGCGCAAGTTCGACGCTTCAAAGCTCGACACAACAGTGTTTGACTGTATATGCAGAAAACAATACTGGATTATTGACGAATGTATCACCAGAAATCACAGACAGAGAGAAGTAATCTTCAGCTTATTGATAAAGCGGGTGTTTTTTTCCCCATCATACATGCGACATCATGTCTTATGATTAACCTAGGCACCTTCATGTGAGTTTTAATCTTGTCATTTCAAAAGGTACTTACCTTTAGGGTCCGAATTAAATGTGACAATGATACCCCGTACTGTGCCAGATATTGCACTGGAAATATTATCACAGATTATTATGACATGATCATCGGACAGACCAAACACACTTACGCACGCACGCACGCAAAGGGAGAGAGAGAGACCACACAGGCACAGACACACGCACTGAGAGAAACACAAGCACACACAAAAACGTAAACAGAAAAACACACTCACACACTTACGCGAGAAGCATGTAAGAAATTACACACGCTCACGCACAGAGACAGAGTGAGTGAGTTTAGTTTTACGCCGCACTCAGAAATATTCCAGCTATACGGCGGCGGTCTGTAAATAATCGAGTCTGGACCAGACAATCCAGTGATCAACAGCATGAGCACCGATCTGCGCAATTGGGAACCGATGACTTGTGTCAACCAAGCCAGCGAGCCTGACCACCCGACCCCGTTAGTCGCTTCTTACGACAAGCATGTGTTACTGAAGGTTCATTCTTACCCGGACAGACTCACAGACACTCCACACGCACACAGAGAGAGAGGCACACACAGACACACACACCTACGCGAGACGCATGTAAGCACATACACACGCGCTCGCACAGATAGAGAGACACACAGACACACACGCACGCACAGAGAGACACACACGAAAGAGAGAGAGAGAGACACTCACAGACACTCCACACGCACACAGAGAGGCACACACACACACTCACACATACGCGAGGCGCATGTAAGCACATACACACACGCAAACGCATAAACAAAAGCAAACAACGGACATACACAAACCTCAACATGTGCGACACAACAGTGCGCGCACGCAGCAAGTGGGTCACACGCACATGCTCACCCAGTGTAGTCTAATGGCTAGTAGGGGCTGACACTACAACCCTATCCCTACCTCATTTAAAGAGGCACTGAATTGAAGATACGAACTCGTTGTCTACTAATAACATTAACAACATACACACACACAAACACACAAACACACAAAAACGGGCAGACACATACAAACTGGCAGACACACAAAGACGCAGACACACACAAACTGGCAGACACACAAAAACGGGCAGACACACACAAACTGGCAGACACACAAAGACGCAGACACACACAAATTGGCAGACACACAAAAACGGGCAGACACACACAAACTGGCAGACACACAAGACGCAGACACACACAAACTGGCAGACACACAAAAACGGGCAGACACACACACAAACTGGCAGACACACAAAGACGCAGACACACACAGATGCAAGGCACTGTCACACAGGCATAATTTCTGTGTTTCTCTTTCACACACACATACACCCCCACGCCCATCCCTGACATGCACAATATGAATCCTCCACACACAGACGCGAACCACACACACACACAGAAAGAGAGAGAGAGTGTGAGAGAGTCGGACACACATTTATACACGCACACACACGCTCTTTCTCTCAGACACATCATCGAAAGAAGATGAAGACAGATTGTATGTTGGTAACCAGACTGCAGGCAACTCCGTGGTGTAGTGGTTAGAGCGTCCGCACGGAGAGCGGCAGGTCGACGGTTGCGGGTCGCGGGTTCGATTCCCGGCCGCGTCTTACCAAGCGACGTTAACTTATGGTACTTGTTGGTCCCTGCCTGGCGCTCGTACAACATAGACTGGTCGGCTAGGAGTCAGTAAAATGTGCCTGAGTCGGGTATTCATGCTAAACTGCCGCATGGTATCTCAGTGAGCTGGCACTATACAACTAGCTTAAGACTGTGCTAGTACAAGCAGCCACACATACACACGCATGCACGTATGAGCGAAATATTCCTAAGTACGACGTTAAACCCTATTTCACCTCACCTCACCTACTATGACATATACAACAATTACACACCCAAAATTAACGATATCATTGTCGCGGGTTCGATTCCCGGCCGCGTCTTACCAAACGACGTTAAATTATGGTACTTGTTGCTCCCTGCCTGGCGCTCGTACAACATAGACTGGTCGGCTAGGAGTCAGTATAATGTGCCTGAGTCGGGTATTCATGCTAAACTGCGGCATGGTATGTCAGTGAGCTGGCACTATAAAACCAGCTTAAGCCTGGGCTAGTACAAGCAGCCACACATACACATGCATGCACGTGTAAGAGAAATATTCCCAAGGACGACGTTATTGGCATTTCACCTCACCTCGTCTACTATGACATACACAACAATTGCACTTCCAAAGTTAACGATATTATCAGTTACAAATATAGTCTAAACACAGGAAGCGTCATTACGCTCAAATGTCAAACTGATCCTATAGACAGACCAGGAAAGTAATAGTTCCACATATTTGTGAAAGCTTGTGATTCCAGTCATCTGTCAACAATCTATAAAATCATCGTAAAGAAGTTCACTTCAGGTTCATAGCGTCCACTTATATACGTCAACCAGAACAGACCCTAAGCGTTGAAAGCGCGCCTTTCAAACGACCAGGTTATTTTGTTTACAGTTGTTATTGACAACGACCTTCAATATGGCGGACGGCTATTTTCGGATCGCGCCACTTGCGCAAGGCATGGGGTATATAACTGACTATGGAATATGTTATCATGACTGTGCTGAGTATATAATTGTTTAATACATATTTCATCTGTTAAAGTGATTCAGGTAAGTTGTCTTAGAGAAGGTTTTAGTGAGTGGCATTGTCAGGATATTGTTGACTAGTATGTATTGTACGACGAAGCGGTGGAAAACAGTTGCTGTGACATCCATGTGTTTGATTTATGCAGCTCTGTCATATCACTGGTATGTGTACAGCTCACACTTACAATGATACATCAGGGACCGTGGTATTGCTGGAATATTGATGAAAGCGGCGTAAAACTAAACTCACTCACTCATTAGTCCGGAAATCCCGCATTCCGAACAATTGCTGTATGGCACTGCTTCACATGAATATAATTACTACCGGGCGTTAGTTTTAGTTATTTTGCCTGTTCGGAACATCGGTTTCTCTGTGTTCACGCTTCCCTATTTGTTTAAAGAAAAATGGATATTGACATGATGCAAAACAGTCATTCCCTGTATTACTGATATCAGTATCATTTTTAGCGTAAGGGAGGCAGTACCATCAGACAGTTCGTTCACCGCACACAAGGCCTGGGTTATATACTCACTCACTCATCACACTCACCCACTCACTCAACTCACTCACCCACTCACTGATCGCTCGCTCACTCAATCATCACACTCACTCACTCACTCACTCATCACACTCACCCATTCCCTCATCACACTCACCCACTCACTCATCGCTCGTTCACTCACTCACTCACTCATTACACTCACCCACTCACTCATCACTCGCTCGTTCACTTACTCGCTTGCTCACTCACTTCAATGGTCATCTGTTTTTAATGGTCATCTGTTTTACTACAATATTCATCACTGAAGATCTGTTCAAATGGAGCCAAAACAAACAACAAGTCAGCCCGATGCGTCTACCTCAGTGTCTCCCCCCTGCCCCGGTCCTCCCACAAGGGGTCGAGGCCCCACCCACCTATGAAGAAGTTATGGGTTCAAATCAGTCGTCTGTTATCGAAGGACAACCAGAGTTGCCTCCCTTGGCTTACATCGACATCATGCCTCGCATCCTGAATGTAGGAAATATGCGTGCGAACATTGCACCAGTCTTCCAGAAGTTTAGGTAAGTGATGTGTTTTTTAACACAGTGCTAACTCATTGAGATACAAGGCTGCAGTTTAACATGTTATCTTATAAAGCCCCTACATCCCACTGGACCGCCTCCGTGGTGTCCGCCCAGAGAGCGGAAGGTCGCGGTTTCGATCCCCGGCCGCGTCATACGACGTTACAATTTGGTACTTGTTGGTCCCTGCCTGGTGCACGACATTAATGGGTACAACAAGGACTGGTCGGCTCGGAGTCAGTATAATGTGTCTGAGTGGGTTATTCATGCTTAACTGCGGCATGGTATCTCAGGGGCTGGCACTAAAACCAGCTTCAGTCAAGCCTAGTACAAGCAGCCGCACATACACATACATACATGTCGTCATATGAGCGAAATATTGTTAAGTGCGACGTTAAACCCCATTTTACCTCACCTCACCTACATCCCATTACAACTACATTCCAGTTCCACTGTATTGAAGAAAGGTAACGACCGAGGGATGAGCAGTGCTGTGGACCGTGAACTTTGTTTTGATAACCTGTTGGGGAGATAGGACATAGGGGCTATGGGAGGTTATCGTTTAACATGGATACCGCACTCCCATTAGCGACCTGTTGCAATGATACAGATCAGATACTATGGTGTTTAAAAGACACCGATTACCTGCACTTAAGTATTACATCCACAGTTGAATACCTCATCGATCTATGTCGGACTGTCCGACATCTCAGGTAGATAATGTTATTAACAATAAAATAGAGCCTCAACTTAGTTATTCTGGCAATAAAATCATGGAATGAAATAACCAACTGCAAGTAATCATTGTTTATCATAATGAATTCATTCCATTTATTTGATATTGACACAAAGCAAACAAATGATGTACACACTATATATATATTGTCATTGATAATTATGCAATATGTGGATCTGTTGTATGCACTCATTGACTGTAAGTAATATTTTAAGTGGCATCTTACAAGGAGCCAGTCTCTTGAGTACACATATTGACTTTTAGATACTTTGCCGTGACAAAATATGCATGCAAGACAGCAATCGGGGTCATACGCACATTGGCTGTAGGAAAAAAGTGTCTGTGAGATCATGAAAGACCCCAATTTATGGCATGCACACCTTGTCTGTATGAAATAGTATCTCCGGCCTAACAAATGTTGCAAATCTGTGGCTTGCACACGTTGGCTGTAAGCAATACTTTCAGTGACATCAAGCAAGTCGCCAATCTGTGGCTTGCACACGGTGACTGTATGCAATACTTTCAGTGAGATCATACAAGGCCCCAATCTGTAGCTTGCACACATTGACTGTATGCAATACTTTCAGTGACATTAAGCAAAGCCCCAATCTGTGGCTTGCACACAATGACTGTATGCAATACTTTGAGTGAGATCATGCAAGGCCCCAATCTGTAGCTTTCACACGTTGACTGAATGTAATAGTTTCAGTGAGATCATGCAAGGCCCCAATCTGTGGCTTGCACACAATGACTGTATGCAATACTTTCAGTGAGATCATGCAAGGCCCCAATCTGTAGCTTGCACACGTTGACTGAATGTAATACTTGCAGTGATATCATGCAAGGCCCCAATCTGTGGCTTACACACAATGACTGTATGTAATAGTTTCAGTGAGATCATGCAAGGCCCCAATCTGTAGCTTGCACACGTTGACTGAATGTAATACTTTCAGTGAGATCATGCAAGGCCCCAATCTGTAGCTTGCACACAATGACTGTATGCAATACTTTCAGTGAGATCATGCAAGGCCCCAATCTGTAGCTTCACACATTGACTGAATGTAATACTTGCAGTGAGATCATGCAAGGCCCCAATCTGTGGCTTACACACAATGACTGTATGTAATAGTTTCAGTGAGATCATGCAAGGCCCCAATCTGTAGCTTGCACACGTTGACTGAATGTAATACTTTCAGTGAGATCATGCAAGGCCCCAATCTGTAGCTTCACACATTGACTGAATGTAATACTTGCAGTGAGATCATGCAAGGCCCCAATCTGTAGCTTACACACAATGACTGTATGTAATAGTTTCAGTGAGATCATGCAAGGCCCCAATCTGTAGCTTGCACACGTTGACTGAATGTAATACTTTCAGTGAGATCATGCAAGGCCCCAATCTGTGGCTTGCACACAATGACTGTATGCAATAGTTTCAGTGAGATCATGCAAGGCCCCAATCTGTAGCTTGCACACAATGACTGTATGTAATAGTTTCAGTGAGATCATGCAAGGCCCCAATCTGTGGCTTGCACACATTGACTGTATGCAATACTTTCAGTGAAATCAAGCAAGTCGCCAATATGTGGCTCGCACACGTTGACTGCATGCACTAGTTTCAGTGACATCACGCAAGTCGCCAATATGGGGCTTACACACATTGACTGTATGCAATACTTTCAGTGACATCAAGCAAGGCCCTAACATGTGGCTTGCACACATTGACTGTATGTAATATTTTCAGTGACATCATGCAAGGCGCCAATATGTGGCTTCAGGCTAACCCGGGCCTACAGTGCTGGAAGTGCGAGACAGTTGAGAGGAAGGTGGATAAGGGTCCTTATATTGACCTGGATTCAATGAAAATGCACCAGTCTACCTATGGATTTAACGTCTACGTGCTGGGACTGAGGTATGTCTTCAATAATTTCAATAACCTATTTTATCTATGACCAAAGTAATAATTTAACGGATGGGACAGCGACGTAACCCAACTTCCCTCAATACAGGTCTATTCATAGAGGGGGCTAAATTCCACTACAGCACGATACCAGACAAACATGTGCACGCTTTCGAAAAGGGTGGTGTTTTGTTGGTGAAAGGTGGTTATGGTGGTAAAGTTTCAGGGAGACTTAGACCAGTAGTAGGGTCTATTTGCGCCAAACAAATTATTTGAAGTTGAATTATCATAAATATAAGTAGGTATGCAGCAAACGATTATAGATACAACATCCCACAAGTTTCGCCATTTTATGGAGACTTCACAATGGCATATTCAAAATTATCGGCCTTTTACTTTAGCAATCCTGACTTGGTACGAGGATCTGTTTCATTACCCTGCAAACCGACAAAAGCTGGAACCCATACAATATCACATGGGTTATCTTTTGTATTACAAATGGTGTCAAGTTTCAAAATTTCGCAAACAGTATCATAACTCAATGTCTGAAAATGCATCAGTTAAGATGACTGATTCATGATTGTATATCCCCACCTATCTCAGCGATTGTAGAACTGATATGTGTTCTGCTACAAAAAACAAACAAAAACAAAAAGGATGTATATTCATAGAGTCTGAACACATAGGCGATAAAGGGGCTAAGCAATCTATCAGTACTGATCCTTGGCGGCGTCAGAATAGTGTGTAAAATCTTTATATCGTTCCCGTATAGGCTCCTCAGAAATTGCTCTCACCACAGTTGGATTCATATCCTTTTTAACACTGGAACTCATTTCATAGCACAGTCTTGGCTTCAGGAAAAGGTTTTTTTGATAGGACCTTTTGGAGTTGTCTCCTATCACTGCAAGGATCCACTTGCCATGGCCAGGAATACATCATTTTAAACAGATCATGCACTGTGATACAGGTGAAAATCGGAGTATCGGATGGATTTCAGTTTACGAAATGTATTCGTGTTAATATTACATGAGAGTGTATATTCCAGATACCACCGGTGCTCTTTGATTTCTTTAGGATGTGGTTAACTCGGAAGCAGAACAACTCGCCCCCTCAACAGCTCGGACTAAAGAATGTTGTGCCTGCCACAAAGGAAGTGGAAATACAGGCGTATCAGTATGGTAACATGTTCCACAACCCCCAGATGCATTACTGGGCACACAGAAGGGCGACGGATGTCATCACAACGTTTGAAGGACTTTCAAGCACTATCGATACATTAAATGAAGACCTGAAGAAATCGCCACTGCAAGGTTGTCGAATTGCTCTCCTCTGTTTTACCTCAGAAACTTAATTTCGTATTTGGGTACATGGGATCCTTTACTAAGGTGGCTGGTTAGCAAAATGACTGTCAGTTCGAACATAATTTGCAATGTCACATTGAAATGGCTTTGAGAAACGACGATATTTTGGTAGACTGAATTGGAAATTGTAACGGTGGATCACAGGGATCAGCTGGGACATGACATCACTTCTCCAAGAGCTTTACGATTTTAGATATTATTGTTTCGGGATGTATTCCATTGTATGCAGTGTATGAATTACTTTTGAAATGTCACTAGCCAGGAGGGCTAGTTAAATAAATGTTGATTGCCCACATCATACTTCACTGGTCCTGCAAAATATCAATATCAAAATGCACATCGGTCAGAATTGGTGTGATGTTTGGTAATTGAACCTGGTTATTGTCGCCCCTTGGAAACAATATAAATCAAACAAACAGAAAAAACTAAGATTTCTTTCATTGTTCCTTAAATACAGGTTGGAGAAAACTCCTCTCTAATGTGCAGGTCACTTTTTGTGCATAGGATAGGCTTGAAACCTTCATCATATTAATGTGTATTAAATAAAGAACAAAGTATCTGAGATTTTCGGCTAGCCAGTCAGGAAAGCTCTAACAATATATTACTAGCCCGAATCACAATAAGCTAGTATTTGGCTATTTCGAACGCTGATTGTATGCAACAGCCTATAATCTATGACACTCAAATGGAAATCAAACAGTGATTATTTAGGTGTACGTTACAACTTGTCATAAAACTGATGAATATAATATTATATTTTCATATTCATATTAGATGAATTAATAGTATTTGTGCTTTCAGGGTCAGTTATAAACATTGAGACAGCAAACATAAAGTATTCGGGATTCGCTACCGACCGTGATCCCGAGAAGACAAGCTTTGTTGAACTTGGAGCAAACAGGATGGGCCTCTTCAGACGAAACTGTCAAATCATCAGAATCTTCTACGTCCTCGGGGAGCCTAAACATGAAGAAATACGTACGTATGATCTACTGCTTAGGTATGAATAATACCTTTACTTTGCAATAAAATATAATAGTTGTCACTCTCACCAAGGGGAAAAACAGTTCCCCAGCAAACACGTGTAAAATGTAAAACGTATCTGATCCCAAGAATTGCTCGATTACTTACAGACATGAAAGACATCGTCCCAGATATCGTCAGACACTCTGGACTTGTGGGCAGTGCGGTATTTGAACCATTCAGTGGATCTCTACTTAAAGCACAAATGTGGCTCCAACAACAATCAGTGAGTATAGATATAAATCACAGACTCGAGGCATGTGCAAGTTGATTCTGGTAGCTAACACTCTATGTACCTGGGGTTGCAGTATTTCTAAATGATCTTGAATATAACCAACAAAATGACAACTGTAAAGAAGTCGAATTACATCCCGATGACAATCTATAACAAATCTTAATAAATAAATCTATTTGTTTTGTTATATCCCGACGACACCGTTCCCAAATGATTTACAACATATGTTAGATTGATTTTATAAATACTGTAACGACTTAATGCAAATGTATCCCTAACAAATATACTTATATTTGGTGGTTTCAAAAACAATAATAAATACTGTTTCAAAATTGGAAATCACATTATAGAGAACGTGCCGTCTTATAAGTACCTAGGAATTACTATTGCAAAAATAATACATTCACTGTAACCAAATTAGAATCTAGCTGAGAAGGCCGCCAAAACCATGTATTTTGTTTTATCGATAAGAGCGTCCTCCTTATTATTACCCACGAGGTCAACGTATGGGTAGTTGCATACTAATCTCGTACGTCACACGAGTGTCGTATCGCGTTGACCTGTGTCGTAACGACTTGACCTGAGATTCTAACGATTTGATTGCATAACCGATGACCTCTCAATTAGGTCACATTCTGACGTAACTATTTTTTCATTCATAACAAACTGTTTTACACGTGAATTCATTCATTCTACAACTTAAATGCATTGTGGGAATGTAAACATTGCGAACGTTGCCGTGTCGCTGTTTAATTGTGAGTCGAACTGAGACATTATATCCGTCGAAAAACATAAACGCAATGTTTCCTCCAGTGATGTTAGCAGAATGAAGCAACTGGAAACCAAGAAACGAGGTGCTACGGAGTAGTTTACTGTAGGAGGCTGTACGAGGCGAGGACAACTGACATGCATCGTGACGTCGGTTACCAAGGCAGTGACGTCATTGCAGTGTGACGTCATGCAAATATTGTACTACAGTACAAAACTCTTCCGCAACCTCTTTATGAAACCGGTTTCGGTTTGAAACCAAAAACATTATAAAAATACGCTATTTTGTTAATTTAATGCATGTAAGACGTGGGTAATAAATAAAATACCACACTCGGTCTCATTACAAACTCGTGACCTTCCTATTTTATCTGACCTCGCTTTCGCTCGGTCAGATACCATAGGAAGGACACTTGTTTCGTATAATTCGTATGTAATGAGACCTCGTGTAGTATTCTCTATTTATGTCACATTTAAGGGGAATTATAAACAAAATATGTAAATAGACATAACTGACTTCTGATTCTGATTTTCAATGGTGAAAGTTAGTCGGATGCTACATTGGGTGAATGTGTCCATGGTGTATATCTGTGTTTATATTTTCGCAGGGAATAAAAATTGTGAATATAGAGACGAGAGATGTACGATCACACGAGAATATGTTAAATCGTAAGTATGCAAGACAGTTGATTGATTTGATCCCTTCCCAAACTTCCCAACCCCACCAGCACCCCCTACCCCCCTACTAAAGCTCCTGACTGAATATATAGAAACAAGGCAAAGTCATCGGCAAACGTTATTGTCAGAAGGCCACTTATAATTTCCACTAAGGTTCCCGTGAGTAGTTGTTACATCGTGTTTATTTTTCAGTGGAGACAACCGTCAACTCCGACTCGACTGATGATTTTGATGGAACATTTTGGGCCTGTAAATACGTGAAGATACTGCGTATGTTTTACGTGAAGTCCCCGGAAATGCCGTCTTACGCCTCCACGAAACTGACATCACGCCTCTTCCCGCCATTACGTCTCGGTATCAAGACGTTCGAAACCATGTCCCAGACGATGATTAGAATTGCAGCCTGGCTCTCCGTCACGCGTAAGATTTGTTGATAAGTGAGTGAGTGAGTGAGTGAGTGAGTGAGTGAGTGTTTAGGCTCAACCATTAATATTTGGGGCTGAGAAACATTTGTGAAATTAATGTACAACGTACTATGTTTACAGATAAAGAATCACCATTAACTCGGGTGGATCCATTCCGCTAACGAACAACTCGACAACACGTGACTACTTTATTGTTAAATAGAACCCGAAACACGAAACTCGTGCATGCAATTTATCGTCATATATTTAAAACAGGATGGGAGCCCTGTAATAGCCTTACCAGGCTAAAATACTGGTGAAGATTACTTTCTGTGTCTCCGTCGGGTGTCATATTTTCGTTTTAACGCGAGAGACATCCAAGGACTTTTCAATAATTTGAAAATTTATTGCAGCTTATTATTATTTTCTCATTATTAGGTATGGGGTAGCTATTCTCCATTCACGTGCCTGTTCATGCATCCCAAACAATGAATTCATTTCAGGTTTGCCAATATTTGGAGTAGAAACTGTGCACTACCCCTTCATCGACAACGACAACATCGGGTTTAACCCTGAGAGGTCAGACCACTACACGATGAAAAACATGGGCCGGACCATGGTCACAGCAATCAGGTGGGTCAGGGTATAACCGTTTACCCTATCGTTGATTCAGTTATATGTCTAACGATCGATGGAACTATTGATGCACTCAGCAATGTTTCAGCACTATGGCCGCGGTCTGTAAATAATCGAGACTGGACCAGATAATCCAGTGATTGATCAACAGCATAATCATCGATCTACGCAACTGGCAAACGATGACATGTGTCAACCAAGTCAGCGAGCATGACCATCCGATCACGTTAGTCGCCTCTAAACAATCATGGGTTACTGAAGACCAATTCTAACCCGAAACATCTTATGTGTTACCTGTATCAAAAACATGACCTTCGAATAACCATAATGTAGAGTTTAACTGTATATATTGTATTGACCGGTGATTTATGAAGTATATTAGGCCATACTCTATAGGTTCAAACCCCTTCATTCTGGACAATTCTGTCAGTTTATCTGTCAATAAAGACAATTTGGACATTATTCCATACACACAATTTATTCATTCTAAAGGTCAACAGTACTTACGTTTTCGAAATGTACAGGGTTAACACTGCTTTTGCCTATGCAAGAGAGTTATCTCCCTCTTCGTCCTTCGTCTTACAGGCTCTACTTCCCTACGTATTATGAAGAACCTCCACGCCACATGCTTCCCCCTACAATTGACTGGCTCACACAAGGTGAAGGCCGTGGGACATCAATATGCACCATATTATAATCAGCACTGTTCACATTTCGACCACAGGGATGTAACGGCAAATCGATACATGACTACTTGTGTCGTAATCGAGATCTCATATTTCTGCTGGAGAAGTTACATCAAGATTAAACTAGATTGTTTAGTTCATACTAAGGAGTTGATTTAATGTTTTACTCAACAAAATGTTGCCGATGTGGCATTAAGTGAACGCAACTCTACTTTTGTCTGAAGAAGTATGTTTATTGTTGTGGTATGGTATTGAGAGTTACGTTCTCCTTTCTAATAAGATGTGAATTGTAAACAGCTTACCATGATTGTAATTGTTGATCATCAAAGCCCAGAGTGTATTTTATGAGATTCAAAATGAATAATTGTAAATCGTGTTAAAAATGACGAGAACAGTAACGAGAGCAGTCAACCTGTGTCAGGGTCTTCGGAACCACAGCTCTAAAAACAGAGCATTTTTCTTGCATTGTTGCCGTCAACTGTATGTTAAACGTTGTGGCCAAAACGAGTTTCGTTCTTACTTCGTATGTTCTTTCACATCTGCCTGTTTACACCATAGACATAAGGAGAACATGCATACAGTTTCTGTATGTCGGGTTTACCTACATTGTTAAAATACATACTGAACCATAAAGGAAATGTCGCACCGATAGCGGTTTCTTAAAGAACACACTTTAATTCACTCTAATTAACAATCAAAACAGAGGACTGAGTTCAAACTTGACCATTATGGTTAACACATGTTCGAAATCACATTTAGAGTACACACAAACACAATCACCAAAAATTGTACCATTAAGATACCTCAAAGTCAGTATCGTGTTTGGCCTCCATGGGCATTGATGAAAGCGTTGCATCGTCTGTACATGGAATGAATTAGCCGGTTGATGAAGGCCATAGACACTTGGGTCCATACACTGCGAAATGCCTGATCGAGTCCAGCCGCAGTTGTCGGCCTTTGTTGGAGGTCATTCAGTCTTCTTTGAATCTCGTCCCAAAGGTGTTCTATTGGACTTAAATCTAGGCTGAGTGCAGGCTATTGTAGCGTTTAGATGTCATGTTGTCATAGGAAGTCCAATGTGGCTCTTGGCAGTGTGGGCGTTGTCTTGCTGGAAGATGTGATTTTTGTAACGTCCAAAATGTTGTGCAACATGGGGTCTTATAACTTGGTCAATATAACGAGCAGCTGTCGCGTCATTTCCTCATCCTGGACCGCGATTCTGGAACACCACGGTGTCAACTAACTGGTTCAAACCGATTGCACCCCACACTATGATGCTTGGACCACCCCACGAGTCTCTTTCAACAATACACTCATTGGAAAACAGTTACCACGCCTTCACCATACTGTCACTCTGCCTATTGTTTATGTAAAACATTCTCGTCACTATATGGCTGAAATATTGCCGAGGTGACGTTAAATTCTAACTCACTCACTCACTATCACTCTGCCATTGACTGTCGAAAAACAATATCGGCTTTCATGAGATGAAAACACAGTTCTCCATTGTCGATAACGCCAATTTCGATGCTGAGTTGCGAATTACAGTCGGTTTGGGCGGTGATGATAAGTGAGGACAGGACTACGATATGGTCTGTTACAGCAGAGGTTTCTTCCGCGCAAACGTCAACGCACTGTATCGGCATTGATGGATCTGTTGTGAGTCCCAATGGTCTGGCGTGCTGTTTCCGTCGCTCTGATGAAGCGATTCTGCAGATGGTGGCGCACAATCTGTCGGTCTTGACGTTGTGATGTTACTGAAGGTCGCCCACTGCGTGGATGGTCTTGGATGCTGTTAGTGACCTGATACCGTTCCTGCGGTCGGTAGATTGCCCTAACATGAACATTAAAATGATTGGCTACCCTCGGTGCAGTCGGGACAACTTGCAATCGCCCCAAGACTTCGTTCCTCTGATCCTTCGTAAGTCGTGGCATGGTGATTGTGTCAAAACAAAAATGATTTCAGCCGAGTTTCGGACTCGCTTTCATTGGTAGGGTTGTCACGACATGCACGTGCATTTTCATTTTCACGAATGTCATACGGAACCTTCTACCCTGTCTGCCTTTTTCGGTGTGTTTGGTCGATATGCTTTTTCATCAGAAAACACACTGATGTTGGTTATAACTGTCAATTTGGATTGGAAAACATGTTAACAAAACGGTACAATCATTATAGATACACCACCGTGTAAGAACAAAATTTTACAATTGGTTTTGAAAGGCCACTTTTTTATTTGTGGTTCAGTATATTTTCTGTGTTCTGTTTGTTTGCTTGTTTGTTGATTGTGTCTCATTTATTCAATGTAAGCTATATTTTTAATATCATATGTTACATTTCGATGCAAGACTCAAGATGTTTATTTTAGTCATATGATCTGTATATTGACCCCACACCTTTTCTGGTTTATGGGTACTTAAAAGTATGTACAGTTTAAAGTAACTTACAGTATGTTTTAATGTACGCAGTGGGAGGTACAGCAGGATAACCCTGGCTCGTCGTTTCGAAAATGAATTGGGTTCCCCACATGGATCCTCATAATATAAGTTCCCATAAGGTTGTATTTAAGCTGTGGTTGGTTGGTTGGTTGTTTACCACCGCACCCAGCAATATTCAAGCTATATGGCGGCGGTCTGTAAATAATCCAGTGAGAATCCAGTGTGACAGGGAGATCCTATGTTTGTACTTTTCGTGCATGTAATAGTGATGAATATCGGTTACAGTGTAACAAAGTTATATACTTATTGTGTGATATCAATTAAAAACTCAGGATATGGCTGTCGGAACATTTCCTACATGCTACATTTGAATACTTTCTGAAACAGGAATTGTGTAGTCATAGTCGTACACAGTTACATTTGCCACAGGTTTGCACAAAGTACGTTATCTAAACTACCAGTTATCAGACTTTCGTTTTTGTGTGGAAGCCACGGTGGCTGAGTTGGTTAGATCGCTGTCTTTGTGTGCTAGCGATTAAGTATCTCTGATAGTGAGGGTTCGAATCCCGGATGACTCAACATCTAAACTCACTGGAGTTCCAAATATGATATATGCCACATTTGACAACCTTGTAGAAAGGGCATTCAGGTCCCTTTAATTTTATAATAATATGCAAATGAAACCATTATGTTTCTTAAAGATGTATTCCGGCTGATTGTTATTTCTATTTATTTCTGAAATTCCGAATATTTTCAGATAAACTGATATCTTGTTTAATCAAATTTATATTTATATTTTATAACATATACTTGTTACAATACTGTTCAAACCAATAAAGATCTGAAACAATTTGTTCTGTGTTATTATGAAAATTATCATGAAAAGATGGTTCATCAGCGCAAGGTGCTTCCGCAGCCTAGACAGCGAATGGTACTTCTCACAGGAAGCAGTACCAAGTCGCATTCATTCATTCATTCATTCATTCATTCATTCATTTACCGAGATGGTCAGCAGGTCTATTTCTCTGGCAACAAACCCCTGTACTCTCCCAATGTCATTCAAGAAACATTCATTCATTCATTCATTCATTCATTCATTCATTCATTCATTCACCGAGATGGTCAGCAGGTCTATTTTTCTGGCAACAAACCCCTGTACTCTCCCAATGTCAGTCAAGAATCATTCATTCATTCATTCACCGAGATGGTCAGCAGGTCTATTTTTCTGGCAACAAACCCCTGTACTCTCCCAATGTCAGTCAAGAATCATTCATTCATTCATTCACCGAGATGGTCAGCAGGTCTATTTTTCTGGCAACAAACCCCTGTACTCTCCCAATGTCAGTCAAGAAACATTCATTCATTCATTCATTCATTCATTCATTCATTCATTCATTCATTCATTCATTCATTCATTCATTCATTCACCGAGATGGTCAGCAGGTCTATTTTTCTGGCAACAAACCCCTGTACTCACCCAATGTCAGTCAAGAATCATTCATTCATTCATTCACCGAGATGGTCAGCAGGTCTATTTTTCTGGCAACAAACCCCTGTACTCTCCCAATGTCAGTCAAGAAACATTCATTCATTCATTCATTCATTCATTCATTCATTCATTCATTCATTCATTCATTCATTCATTCATTCATTCATTCATTCACCGAGATGGTCAGCAGGTCTATTTTTCTGGCAACAAACCCCTGTACTCTCCCAATGTCAGTCAAGAATCATTCATTCATTCATTCATTCATTCATTCATTCATTCATTCATTCATTCATTCACCGAGATGGTCAGCAGGTCTATTTTTCTGGCAACAAACCCCTGTACTCTCCCAATGTAATTCAAGAAACATTCATTCATTCATTCATTCATTCATTCATTCATTCATTCATTCATTCATTCATTCATTCACACGAGATGGTCAGCAGGTCTATTTTTCTGGCAACAAACCCCTGTACTCTCCCAATGTCAGTCAAGAATCATTCATTCATTCATTCATTCATTCATTCATTCATTTACCGAGATGGTCAGCAGGTCTATTTCTCTGGCAACAAACCCCTGTACTCTCCCAATGTCATTCAAGAAACATTCATTCATTCATTCATTCATTCATTCATTCACCGAGATGGTCAGCAGGTCTATTTTTCTGGCAACAAACCCCTGTACTCTCCCAATGTCAGTCAAGAATCATTCATTCATTCATTCACCGAGATGGTCAGCAGGTCTATTTTTCTGGCAACAAACCCCTGTACTCTCCCAATGTCAGTCAAGAAACATTCATTCATTCATTCATTCATTCATTCATTCATTCATTCGTTCATTCATTCATTCATTCATTCATTCATTCACCGAGATGGTCAGCAGGTCTATTTTTCTGGCAACAAACCCCTGTACTCACCCAATGTCAGTCAAGAATCACTCATTCATTCATTCACCGAGATGGTCAGCAGGTCTATTTTTCTGGCAACAAACCCCTGTACTCTCCCAATGTCAGTCAAGAAACATTCATTCATTCATTCATTCATTCATTCATTCATTCATTCATTCATTCATTCATTCACCGAGATGGTCAGCAGGTCTATTTTTCTGGCAACAAACCCCTGTACTCTCCCAATGTCAGTCAAGAATCATTCATTCATTCATTCATTCATTCATTCATTCATTCATTCACCGAGATGGTCAGCAGGTCTATTTTTCTGGCAACAAACCCCTGTACTCTCCCAATGTCAGTCAAGAATCATTCATTCATTCATTCATTCATTCATTCATTCATTCACCGAGATGGTCAGCAGGTCTATTTTTCTGGCAACAAACCCCTGTACTCTCCCAATGTCAGTCAAGAAACATTCATTCATTCATTCACCGAGATGGTCAGCAGGTCTATTTTTCTGGCAACAAACCCCTGTACTCTCCCAATGTCAGTCAAGAATCATTCATTCATTCATTCACCGAGATGGTCAGCAGGTCTATTTTTCTGGCAACAAACCCCTGTACTCTCCCAATGTCAGTCAAGAATCATTCATTCATTCATTCATTCATTCATTCATTCATTCATTCATTCATTCATTCATTCATTCACCGAGATGGTCAGCAGGTCTATTTTTCTGGCAACAAACCCCTGTACTCTCCCAATGTCAGTCAAGAAACATTCATTCATTCATTCATTCATTCATTCATTCATTCATTCATTCATTCATTCATTCATTCATTCATTCACCGAGATGGTCAGCAGGTATACTTCTGGCAACAAACCCCTGTACTCTCCCAATGTCAGTCAAGAACCAAGAACAATGTGGAGTTCCACCACTTGGTACATGGAGCCAGTCCCCAAAACTGCAAAGTTATCATCTTCCATCACGCTCTGTACATAGTCTGGGTCATGACATGGCGAAGACTGCAAAACAAATACAATAAAAATATTTAAGATTAAATTAAATATTTAAAATGCCCAAAAGATTAAATAACAAACGAAAAAAACCCCCAAAATAACACACACACTCACAAAAAAACAACAATCAAACAAATAACAACTTAAAGATGAACAAAAGCAAAACAACTAAACAGACAAACAAGAAACAGACAATAAAACAAAGCAAGGCAAATCAATCCCAAATACAAAGCCAATAAAATAGAGCCTTCCCCACCCCACACCCAGGAAAAATGCAGGTGTGTACTTTTTCAGTACGTCAGTTCAATAACACGTATTATTGTGAACAAATTAGCAATCATAACAAGCGCCTCAATGTTTCGTGACATATCATGGGTTTGGCATGAATTTGCAGATGTTGTCGAACACAGCGATGGCGGTTAGTGTGATCCGGTCAGTACTGTTGGCAACCTCTGGTGCCTCGTCACTCATGCAGTCACTCGGGGTACATGCCGCAAACACACAGGTCAGGGTCAGGCGTCACGTCTTACCACGTTGTGAGTTATTGAGACACATGTTTAAAGGGCCTCTGTGTCTACACGTTCAATTGACGCACTGCTGGTGAAAGTAGATCAATCTGTTGCTAAACATAACAATACTCCTGTCGCCACCAGACACTGTTTACTGTTGCCGTTAACACCAAACAACACTGACGATCGTTAAGAGTTTACTTACAATAATTGCCTGATGTGGTAACTCTTCTTGTAATAATCTAACAAGACTGGTCGTTGTTCCTCATCCAACAAATCCGATAACAGCACAGTCATGCCGAGAACACATTCGAGAACAAAATGACATTGTCAGACAGGTTTATATCAGGTGATACTTCTAGGTCCTCACACTCTAATTCCTTGCCCTCTTTTCTACGGTTAGTTAGATAAGACGCGGTGGGGTGAACTGGTTTAACGCGGCTTTGAAGTCTATGTACACATCACTTATATCACGGTTTGTCAGCTGTTTATATGAAGACAGGGATGAGAGATCTTTACAAATTTGTCTATATGTTTTTTAATTTTGCAAGCTCTGTAAAGAACCATGTTCAGTTGTGTCAAAACAGTTAAATATATTTTTCAAATGTGTACAAATTAAAGGAAAACCTTATCACGTAGCAATGAGCCATTTTCGTCACTTAACGTTGAGATATAATTACATCCTAATGTAATTAAGTTGTCAAAACGCCAATGTCGAACAATCTTCCATCAGTTTTTTCTCGGAAAATTTCAAAGAGCGTCATATGAATCTTGTTCAAAACTTATTTGATCAAGACAAACACAATCAATGCTTCAGTAAAGCTTTCAAAACGTTTCATGGTATACGCATGAAGGATATTGCCAGGTGTGACCAAACAATGACCAATTTAGATTCATACAATACCACCTCGAATCCGTTTTAGACAAAAACCTAAACACTTTCCTTGTTTGTGCTCTTTTGTGCTTGTGAAGGGTTCCAAGAATGTAAAAAAATGCATTCACTTCTTTTCACGGAGACCTGAAACAATCAATATCCGATATTGATGTATACTCGCGTGCGAGTCAGGTTCTTACAATGGGCCTCTCTATCGGAGAGATGTGCTATGGTTATGGAAAGAGTTATATCGCCTTGACTTGTACCGACACACACACACCATATACAGGACAGGATTAATGAAATATTGCTGACATATATGTTCAAATCACAAAGTATTATGAAATTTAGATCTATTCGGCACGGATCGCCAGTGTATTCACGGCGATTCCCCACATGGGTACAATGTGTGAAGCCCATTTCTGGTGTCCCCCGCTGTGAAATTGCTGGAATATTGCGTAAAGCGGCGAAAAACCATACTCATTCACTCATGCTAGTGTATAGCCTGGCATAGCAGGGCAGATGAAACTCTTGTAATTGTTTTTGGGTAATATTTTCGAAATCCCTTGGAGATGAGAAACGACCAAATGGTAAAACCTGTGATATCTTCTACGTTTGCGCTTTAAACATGACAGCCAAGATGTCAACTGGTCAAGGATCATACTCAGGGAGGATGTTGGCTTCAAAACCACGAACAACGGATACAAATGCAACTAAGAAAAGCAATTCTTGTTATAAGTGCATGAACGAGCAGCTATATCTCAGGTCATCGCCATATAAGTCTCTGTGTTGGTCTTGATTCAAAGTGTTAAGCCATTTCACAGTAATGTACAAAGAATATCTTTAAAATCCATTTCTTGGAAAATGTAAGCTTTATTGCAAGCTGTTATAGGCATACAGGCAGTGTGTGGTTTCACACCACATAAAGGAAAGCCAATGAACCGGAAAGCCTTCAGTGCCTGTATCGATCTCAATGACTCGGGACGGCGCGCGTTGCTCCAAGCAACGTCGATACAAGGAAGCTATGCGTATTGTATTCATTTAGTATTTGACGTAAACAAACCTCACTTAACGACGTAAACGGGTCTTTCACAAGTCTCTCTAAAACACTATAACAGTCAGCCAGCTCGGCTACTGGATTTTACGACATTGGACACGTAACACCGACTATCCCACCTGACGCGTGCACTGTAAGTACCCATCTGTTTACATACAGTCTGAGACTAAATCGTTGTGATCTGCTACATGTAGGCACGAACTGCCAGGCAGGTTGTTTTACACGTCAGCAGCTGAACGTTTGAGTGGCCTGCAAATCGTTTCATGCTGACTGTCAGACAGTAGTGTTCTTGCCTGCCACCTCTCATGGCATAGTGTCATGTGTGCTCATGCCTATCTGGCTCTATGAAAACTGAATGAGGGAATATTGGTTAAATTGGCTATGTGGCATGATCGACATTTGAAAATGTAATAATTAAATTAAGACATATAGAATGATCCAGTGAAGTCACAGAGTGTGTGTAAACGATCACTATAGAAGTCGGATCTTGTGATGAGCCCGACAAGCAATCACAGTGGAGGATCGATGCAGGAGATAGTCAAAAGTAAACAGCAGGGCTAACAACGGTAAACACGAGAAAACTGTCACCGTCATCAAAAAGGTACTTGCTTGAAAACAATTTCTAGATCACAGCTCGAATGTCCATATGAAATACATCACCATAGACTGAGCATTTACTGTTTGTTTAGGGGCGGTGGGGTAGCCCAGTGGTTAAAGCGTTCGCTCGTCACGCAGAAGACCAGGGTTCGATTCCCCTCATGGGTGCAACGTGTGAAGCCCATTTTCGGTGTACCCCACCGTAATATTGCTGGAATATTGCTAAAAGCGGCGTAAAACTACACTCACTCACTATTTGTTTGTTTACTTTTAGACACCATCAAACATGTGTGTGTGTGTGTGTGTGTGTGTGTGTGTGTACTTCCTTATGCCCTGCAGTTTATGTGAAGTAGTGAGTGTACTTAATCGAATCAGGAACATTTTATCCATGTCTAAATTATTTAATTCATACTAATGTCTTGTGGAATACTTTGCTCCCATGTTAAAACTATGAAAATAATGCATTAAACCATACTGCTGACTTGCATGTAGGGACAATGTGTTGTTTCGCGATATTATCATGGACCAATTTGTTATTGCACAAGGACATGCAAAGCAACAAATTAAATGTGTACACACACGCTAAATAAATATTTTTTTGATCATTCATATTTACTGCCGCGGAAAAAAGTTATTCGATGATTATATACGGATTTGTTGTGTTTTGAACCTTAAAGTTGCAGAGTGTCGGCCACTGTTTTCGATCTGGTAGCGTGTTGATAAAGTTTGTAATTCTTTTGTGACGTGCAATTTTCAAACGGATGTGCAGTTTATATACAGCCAGGCATGCTCTCATTTTCTATATTTGCCACTATCATAGATATTTGTCTTATACATATGAAGTTAGTTGTTTTAGATATACTTTAAAAAAAATTTAACTTTGTCGACAAAAGGTTGTGCAGTTCCAATTTTTAACCACCTCAAGAGGCGAAACCAGATTCTCCAAATGGGCAGTGATGGACCCAAGCTGTTCAGATCTGTGATGGGTACAAGCTATTCATTCCTTTAATATCCGGGGCGGTGGGGTAGCCTAGTGGTTAAAGCGTTGGCTCATCACGCCGAAGACCCGGGTTCGATTCCCCACATGGGCACAATGTGTTAAGCCCATTTCTGGTGTCCCCCGCCGTGATATTGCTGGAATATTGCTAAAAGCGGCGTAAAACTAAACTCAGTCAGTCAGTCCTTTAATATCCACAAGATATTCAGAGATATGACACTCCTTTGCGACTTAAATCAGCCATTCTGTATGTTTGACAACAGTATATATACATAAACAACTTGCATTTAAAGGAGAATAAAACATTTTACAATTATCAAACTTTTTACAGTTAATGCGCACGCACATATTCACAGGCACACAGTTACACATACATATACAGTAACTATGTACATTTACAGTAACAATTTGCATGTACATATATCATATGAATACATGACACTTTAATGGATAACAACTTCTAATATATTCTTTACACGACGTTTCAGAGCTAATTCTTGCTCCTTCATCAGGTGATGAAACGTCGTGTAAAGAATAAAAATGATTTACAGGTCAAAAGTTGTACTTACATGTACATATATCTTGCAATTATCATATATCGTAACACCTTTCATGTACATGTATCTTACAATTATCATTTACAGTGACAATCTACATGTACATGTATATTACAAGTATCATATACTGTAACTGCGTAAATGTACAGATATATTACAATTATCACACTGATTCCGGATTCAGTCCCTGCATTGGTTTCTTATAAACTTATTTGATATTGTCATCCTCTTAGAATTAGGCCATGTGTATGTGACATGTGATATAACATGCAAGCTGAAGAAGGTCAGGGACGACGAATGATATATAACTCGTAACTGAGAGATGTTATGGGTGTTTTCAACATTTCATTTCTTATCGCTGCGTGTTATCTTGATATGGTAGGACAACGCTACATGAAGTTTACAAACACAGGTTTGACACTGCCACGCCATGCAATAACACCAAGAAGAGTTGAACCTCGACCAGAGATTGATAAAATCAACTGCATCCCCTTGGAAAAGTGCCAGTCATTGCGCTACACGCAGGGAATATCTCGAAACATTCCGAGTAGTTCCTGTATATATGCCATTCTGTTAAGTGTACATAGTGACAACACGCATACTGTGAAACACTCCCCGATTGCCCTTAAAGCTTGTAGCTCAGTTTACAGATAATTAGTTTGTCCTAATTCTGTCAGTTGTACTGTGTCGGTCAAACAAAGTACAGTATGCTATCCGGTGTCTAGTCAGGGTCAATGAATCGATTGATTTTATATATTTTTCTTGATTATCTATACTTTAAAAATACATCACAAAGATACGGACACTATGATTGACGGGAGAGTGCTCAATAAATACGCTTCACTTGAACGCTAAAATAATACACTTTACACATGAAACAATTTCAGCTACAGGCTTTACTGAAACGCTGAAATAAAACACTTCACTGAATTGCTTCAATAAATCAACACTTCACTTAAAACCTTTCAATAAAACACTGAAAACTTTAGCTTAACCTTTCAGGTCATCCATTTAACAGTGTACGTCCTAAAGACGTTTATTGTCCAACAAGGAATTAGGTTTGCCAAGGGCCAACATGCAAGGTTCATCCAATATTCATAAGATGTATTGGTGTGTTGGCTAGCTGGATGGCGTGGCCATTGCATTAACTTTGCAGGCGAGGTCCAATTTATCGATTTCCGTGGTCCAGTTGATAGAACATCCGGAGAGCGTAAGGTCACATGCTCAATTCCATGTCGATACGTGAATAGATAATACTTTTTTGTCACCCTGCCTGGAGTTCGGCATTCAATGTATATAGCAGAGGCTGGTCGATTTGGAGCTTGTATACGGAGGCTAAGTTGGGTATCCTTGTTGAACTGTGGTAGTAGTATTAGTATTAGTATTAGTATTAGTATTAGTATTAGTAGTAGTAGTAATACTAATAGTGGTAGCAGTAGTGGTAGTAGCAGTGGTGCTAGCAGTACTGGAGGTGTTGGTAGTTGTAGTGGTAATCGCTATAGTAGTCGTAGAAGCAGTAGTAGTGGTAGAAGTAGTCTTGGTGGCAGCAGTGGTGGTGGTGGTAGTGGTGGTGGTTGTAGGTGTTGTGGTAATAGTTGTAGGAGTAGTAGTAGTTGTTATTGTTGCAGCAGTAGTCGTTTCACTTAAGACGATATTGCTAAAATACTGACCGCAATTCTGAGTAGAGGGTTGAGCCCATGAAGCATCCTAACAATATCTTTTAGGAAAAAAATAGTTGCATCGAACCTTACTAATTGATTCTTTCCGACTGCATCCATGTAACAAATAAACACTGGTTCGGTTGTCATAAGTCCATGTCAGGTATTGATGTAGAATGCGTTTAATTCTGAGAAAAACATTCTGTGCCTTCGCCTCCAATCCATTTAGCACGATTAGATCTTCAGGTAACCTAACGCTACATTGCATATACAGTGTACATTGACAATATATAGAGCAGCATGACCCGAGACCAGTGTTGGGTTTGGCTGACGATCTGAATCAAGCAAACGCTGAAAACAGCCGTGGTACAATGAGACCCTAGAGAGACACAAACTATTATTCTCTACACAAGTACACAGGTTGGCGGTATCAGGTAACAAACACGTAATGTTTGATGCAAATTGATGTTTGAGCGGCGGGTGCTAAAGGTAGGGATGAACTGTCTTGCCCTTCTCGCGAACACATGGTGACTGTGCTGATTTTAAGAGATCCATTCATGTAATGCTGAGCACTATTTTCCCTTACGACCAATGGAACCTGTTTGGCGGACGCTGGTGACTGGTTATTGTATAAAGCTAACGTTTCCTATTGTTTTTATTCTCAAGTTGATGATAAAAGGTTAACCAAGAATCAACTCGTAAAAGAACCGTATTTGTGGAACTTAAACAAACAACAAATAAATGTGATGTAATTAATGTAATTAACAGTAAATGTTTCATTCTAAAATTCCGTGATATAAAGGTAATATACTACAAGAGCAGTGACTACAGCTATACAGACAGCGATGGTTGTATCTCACCTCTCAGCTGCAGTAATCCAACTGTAACTATGCCAGACAAGGTATGATGATCACCACACACGCAATGCGTCTTCTTGTAAAGTGGGATGCAATGTGAGATGAGAGTTTGGAGTTAAAGCCCCGTATATACCTTTGAAAAAGGTGCTGGATAATTCTACACTGAGGCAGGAGATTCTGGAATAAACTCCTTGTAGCAATTTCCAGATTTTCCTGTTTAAATTTAGTTCAATTAAAAATATAGCACCTCGCTGACCATCACATGTATAAGTTTTGCATTTCGGTCATTGTTACACAATGAATATCACAGCCACAAAACTATGTGACAGATATATCGAAAGCGTTTAGTACCGCATATAAATGAACAAATATAGAGTTATATGAGACAAAAGAGAGCTAACACACTTGTACTGCCACACAGTGTTAATACTGCAGTCTATACTGAACAGTACGTTTATAACGAACAC